GAACTTGTCTAGTTATTTTTGAACCCAGTTCTACTTTTGGCCATCACAACATCCCATGGCAATGAATTCCATAGGTTAATTGTACATTGTGTGAAAAAATAATTCCTCTTGTTTGTATTAACCCTGCTGCCTACTAATTTCATTCGGTGAACCCTGGTTTGTGTATTGTGGGAAAGGGTAAATAACACTTCTCTTGGTGATTTTTCCCACATCATTCATGATGTTATAGACCTTTGTCATACCTCCCCCTTAATCGTCTCTATTCTAAGATGAAAAGCCCTAATATTTTTAGTCTCTCTTTGTGTGGAAGCTGTTCCATACCCTTGATCAACTTAGTTGCGCTTCTTGGAACCTTTTCCAGTTTCACTATAAACTTTTTGGGGTGGGACATAACTGACCCAGTATTTAAGGTGTGGGCACACCTTATATTTTTTAGATTTATTTATATTTTTGATATTTGCTGTCTTATATTCTATCTGTTGCTAATTGTTCCTAACATTGTGTTAGCCTTTTTGACCACTGCTGAGCATTGAGCTGAAGTTTTCAGAAAACTATCCACAATTACTTCAAGATCTCTTTCTTGAGTGGTACCTGCTAATTTAGAACCCAGCATTATATAAGCACAGTTGGGATTAATTTTTTCAACTGTGCATTACTTTCCACTTATCAATGTTGAATTTCATCTGACATTTGTTGCCCAGCCACCCAGGTTAGGGAGGTCGCAGTCAGCTTTGGACTTTACAAAATTTTTCATGATTGTTTCATCTGCAAACTTTGCAACTTCACTGATCCCTTTTCCAGATCATTAATTAATATGTTGAACAGCACTGGTTCCAGTACAGATCCTTAGGGAACATTGCTGTTTACCTCTCTCCATTGTGAAAACTGACCATTTATTTCTACCCTTTGTTTCCTATCTTTTAACCAGTTACTGATCCATGAGAGGACCTTCCTTCTTATCCCATAACTTTTTAGTTGCCTTAGGAGCTTAGTAGTGAGGGTCTTTGTCAAAGGCTTTCTGAAAATCCAAATACACTATATTGACTGGATCACACGTATTCATATGCTTGTTGACACTGTCAGAGAATTCGAATGGATTGGTGGGGCAAAATTTCCATCTACAAAAAGCCATGTTGACTCTTCCCCAACAAATAGTGTTCATCTATGTGTCTGGTAATTCTGTTCTTTACTGTAGTTTCTACCAGTTTGCCTGGTACTGAAGTTAGACTCACCAGCTTGTAATGACCAGGATCCCCTCTGACGGGCTTTTTAAAAATCGGCATTACATTAGCTACCTTCCAGTCATCTGGTATGGAAGTTTGTTTCTTACTACAGTTTCATATTTGAGCTCCTTCAGAACTCTTGGATGAATACCATCTAGTCCTGATGAGAAAAGTGGGCTGAGGTAATCTCTTTTATTAGACCAACTTCTGCTGGTGAGAGACACAAGCTTTTGGGCCACACACACAGATCCTGGTGACAGTTATGACGGTTTAATTTATTAATTTATTTAATGTATAAATTATTTTATTAATTTATTTAATTTAATTGTTCCAAAACCTTCTCCGGAGACACCTCAGTCTGGGACAGTTCCTCAGATCTAAAAAGAACGGCTCAGGTGTGGGAATCTTCCCCACATCCTCTGCAGTGAAGACTGATGCAAAGAATTCATTTAGCTTCTCCACAACGGCCTTATCTTCCTTGAGTGCTCCTATATCACCTTTGTCATCTAGTCACCCCATTGCCTGTTTGGCAGGCTTCCTGCTTCTGATGTTCTTTAAACAATTCTTACTGTTAGTTTTTGCATCTTTAGCAAGTTGCTTCTCAAACTCTTTCTTGGCCTGCCTAATTATACTTAACCTGCCAGAGTTGGTGCTCCTTCCTATTAATTATCCTCACTAAGTTTTGACTTCCAAAGTTTAATGGATGCCTTTTTGTCTCTCATGACCTCCATTACTCTGCTGCTTAACCATGGTGACATTCTTTTGGTCATCTCATTATCTTTTCTGATTAAGGGGAAACATTTAGCCTGAGCCTCTATTATGGTGTTTTTAAATATTCCCCCCTGCTGCTTGCCGGCATTTAACCTTTGTGACACAGCTCCTTTTAATTTTTTGTCTAAGAAGCCTCCTCATTTTTATGTAGTTCTCCTTTTTGAAGTGACCGTGTTGATTTTTTGGGGTATTACTCCCTCTCCACCCACCAGGATGTTAAATTTAATTATATTATGGTCACTATTACTGAGCGGTGAAGCTACCTCTTGGACCAGATCCTGTGCTTCAGTTAGGACTAAATCAATCATTGCTTCTCTTGGACCAGATCCTGTGCTTCAGTTAGGACTAAATCAATCATTGCTTCTCCCCTTGTGGGTTCCAGGACTAGTTGCTCCAAGAAGCGGTCATTGTGGTGTCCAGACATTTTATTTCTGCATCATGTCCTGAGGTGACATGTACCCAGTCAATATGAGGATAGTTGAAATCCCCCGTTATTACTGTGCTTTCTGCTTTTGTAGGCTCTCCAATCTCCCTGAGCCTATTACAATCACTGTCACCATCCTGATCAGGGGGTCAGTAGTATATTCCTACTACTGTACTCTTATTGTTCAAGCATGGAATTCCGACCCATACGGATTCTATGGTACAGTTTGGTGGTACCTTAAAGACTAACAGATTTATTTGGGCATAAGCTTTCATGGGTAAAAAACCACTTCTTCAGATGCAACTGAAGAAGTGGTTTTTTACCCACGAAAGCTTATGCCCAAATAAATCTGTTAGTCTTTAATGTGCCACCGGACTCCTTATTGTTTTTGTGGATACAGACGAACATGGCTACCCCCTGATATGTGGTAGAGTTTGTTTCATTTCAGATTCTTACCTTATTTATCTCTATGCTTTCTTTTACATGTAGTGCCACTCCCCCACCAGTGCAACCTACTCTGTCATTCCTATATATTTCATACCCTGGTATTACTGTGTTCCACTGATTATCGACATTCCAACAAGTTTCTGTAATGCCTATTATTTCAATATCCTCAGTTGATGTGAGACTGTCTAGTTCACCCATCTTAGCAGTTAGACTTCTAGCATTTGCATGTAAGCACCTGTACATTTTGTTAATATTCAGTTGCTTGCCTTTGTGTGTTGTATTTAAAGGGACCCTTACATAAAGGGATTTCTACCTGTACTTCACCTACTTTTTTCCTATCCTCTTTACTAGGCTGTAGAGTTCCCTCCCCTTTAATAAATTCATCCCTAAGAGACATCTCTGCCCGAACTGTGTGCTCCTCCTCACCTGTTGGCCTTCCCACAGCCATTTTGTTTAAAAAATACTCTACACTCTTTTTAATTATGTGTGCCGTTACCATTTTGGTTTAGGTTGAGCATATGCCTCCTCTTTAAGAAGGATCCTCTATCTTCTAAAAGGGTGATCTCATTGGGATTATAAAAAAAGTAAAATAAAAATCTGAACCCAGCTGAGCTTTCCTGCATCGCTGAAAATGTCTGGTTCATTTTTTCCCTTCACCCTTTTTCACTTACGCATCGTGCCCTTCTGGGTTGTGACTGGGCCTGGAAGCAGACGGGCCAGAATACTAGCATGGATGTTCTTGAGGTGTTATCAGACAAAGAAACTTAGATTTAATAGGACAGTCTGTTCTCTGGACATCGGCAACCAAAATTTAGTCTCAAGATTTGTTTGGATAAGATCCTAAAAGAACGTAACCTCCAGAGCTTGCGAGAGTTACCCGATGTTATTAACTGTTATGGTGGTGGTTTCTCTCTACCCAACGCATGCTAAAGACACTTTTCAGACAAGGAGATGGACAAGATCCCTGCCTCAAAGGACCCACGACTTGTCATTCATAGATTATTCAGTTACGTATGTCAAATATGTGTCTCTTGGTGTAAAGTAATAGCCTGAGATGGCTCCATTCCCCCTATTCCTGCCAGCCAGATGACAACACAGAAGGGCGTAGAACTTCAAAGAAAACCACAAGGGGTAGATTTAGGAGAAAGGTGACTGCCAGGGATGCTTCCTCCTCTGTGTAAAGCCTCTGTTGCTTGTTAGCCCGTGGCTTTGTGTAAAAGAGAGAGCCGGGGAGTGGGGTTGCAACAGGAGCAGGGGAACAGCACGTTCAACCTTCCACATCATAGTGCAGACTGAGGTCCGCATAAAAATGAGGGATCAGCTAATGCCTGGAGCGGCATCAACTCTCTCTCCATGGTTTGTCCTCCATCAAAAGACTCCCAGAGCACAGGTGCTCGCTGAGGGATAATAGCAGCACATCCACCGAGCTGTTGCGATGCCTTTGCTCTGTATCTGTGTCTCTCCATGTGTGAGGAAGAGGAGAATTTAAAGAGAAATGTCTCCCCCTTACTGCCCAATGGGGGCTGCCCTACCTCTTGGTACCCGGCCCACCATGGCTGGCCCCATGCCGAAGAGGGAATGGTGTATCAAAAATACCCCTTCCCCGCAAGTACCATGCATCTTTGGGCGGTGAATCCTTCCATATTTTCATTTACATGGGCGGGAAACATAGGCCCCTTGATGCTTTTTCTGTCATCTGACTCCAAATGCTCTTCCCCACAAAATTCACCTCCGATATTCCTTGCTCCCCATACTTGTGGCTCCCCACATCAGGGAGAGTTTCCCACACACAGAAGGCACGGAGATCTACTGTACAGTTCTAAGGCTAGCATTCTCCCTAAGAAAGAGCTTGGTGTTTCTCCGCAAATGATCACATTAACTGATCAAGCTGGGCCTGAGGTTTTTACCTAGACCAGCCTGGAGTGGTGATAAACCTGCTGCCTGTGCAAAGTTAGCGATAAATATTTCTGTTCCTTCAGCTGACTGACATGAAGCGCATATACAACTTGATTCGCACGAGGCTGCTCCTCCACTAATGCGAGCAATAGGATTCTGACTTTGTGCATGGTGATTGCTTTTGTGTTCAGTAACAACGCTGCTTTATTTCCACCCCCACCCCTTTCTACAAAACTTAGGAACCTACTGGCATTGATTATCCTCTCATGGATTCAGCAAGTACCATCACCACCATAGTGGGACCGAGTGCTTTCAGTATTCCCCTGCCCATCAGACAAAAGCTCTGCAGCAGCCTTGATGCCCCGCAGACCAGGGGCCATGACTGGAGGATGCTGGCCCACAAACTGAAATTGGACAGGTGGGTGTGTTGCCTGCGCGAACTCTACAACGTGGCTGAGTGACTACATAAAGGCTGTTGTTATAGACAGGTATGTGCGCGGGAAGTGAGCTCGCTCTCCGTTGTCCTTGTTAAGGGCCCAACCCTGGTGCCAGTGAAATCAGTGGGCTATTTGTCATTGACTTCAGTGGAAGAGGAGTTTCTCAAAGAGCACGTTTACAGAGTAAGGGGCCCACAAACTGGCAGGGCTTGGATAAACCACATAGGCAAGAGGACAGTACCAACTGTGAATAGGTGGGGCAGATCCCCATCAGCTGGTCTAAATTGGCTCAGGTCTATTTAAGCCAGGGGTGCAACCCTGATTTACACCAGCTGAAGATCCGATGCAGAAGGCTTCCATGCACAAGTGCAGTACAAAGACCTACAGACTAGTCACAGTGAACGCTCATGCAGAGTGTACATAATGGGTGTGGTTTGTGGATAGTTTGAATCAGCATTGACAGTGGCAGCCAGTCTTAGAGGACCATTTCCCTTCATTCTGTTGCAGGTACCTAAATTATTTTGCTACAAAATCAAGTCCTACTGGCGTGATCCTAGATCTTTGGGAAGCCCAGAATTTTCCCGATGGCAACCTGAGCATGTTGGCGGCAGTCCTCGAAGAAATGGGAAGACACGAGACAGTTGTTTCTTTAGCGGCAGAAGGAAAATATTGATGCAACCTCAGAATGAAAAAGAAGGAATGGAAATAAGGGAGTGGTATTGCCCTAAGAGCTACGAATAAGAAACAAAATGACTACCCAGATCAATGAGTTTCACAAAAGACATTTCCGAGAAGAAAAAATCAGCCCTGACTTTCACGTATGTTCTCCTTGTACATTATGACAGGATCTAAAAGAAATCATACAAAGTTGTACCTTGAAAATATAAATCAACCTAACGTTCCCCTCAGCTTGGCTGTACACTGCTTGGTACAGGATTTTACAGTTTCCTAGGAAACGCTTTTTATTGCTATCCAGATGTATGGATAAACTTTCTTAACAATCCCAGTTTCTATGGACATTGTTTACATCAAATACCGGACAGAGGTAAGGAGACTGTCCAGGGCTCTTTATATTTTTGTTTAAAGCCATTCTAGACAAAGCTGTGGACAGTTGGTTGTGGCTATTTCGGATGATCAACTTCCAGTGAAATTCAGACTTTAGCTACAAATCCGTGCATCAACTGTCTCAAAATAATCCTCCCATCATTGTTCTGTTTCTTAGATCTGGTTGTAAGACCAGTGTTTTGAAACGTGTGCATCTGGAAAGCAGATAATCTGGGTGCTAAGCAGGAATGCATGTCTCTCTCCCCACCTCCCCCAAGGGAATTCCACGGGTTCTTTGTGAAAAATAGCTGTAGGATTGTAGGGAAGATAGGGATTCATTTTCAACTCACAATATAACCCGCTCCCTTCTTAAAGAAAGTGTGTGTGCGTGAGAGAGATGCAATTTGGAGCGTGGGTTGGGTGGAAGGAAATAACCCTGCAGATTCTGCTATAATGATTATTTACCAATAAGTATCTAGTGCAAGGATTATTATTATTTTATTTTAATTTCTAATTTTGTCAGCAGTAGCATGTATCATTCAAGTGTAGGCAGAACTTGTTCTCTCCCTTCTGGGACTGCGTGGGTTCTTCTAACACACTTCCTTTCAAATGCCACCCTCCCTCCCCTTCTTCAGCCATTGTGCTCACCCTCCAAGGCCTCAGTTTGCTGACAAGGCATGCTCACATGTTAGCGTACGCTGGACCAGATCTTCCACTGGTGTAAATTAAAGTCAATGATTTACACCAGCAGAGGATCTAGTTCAATGAGTGCCAACTATCGCACCGTGTGAGCTTCTGCAACGCCCCCTATTTACTAACGATTCGAGGAGCAAACATCTCATTGTTATGCTCGAAGCCGGGGCTGCCCCATGCCAATGCTGTGAATACACCCTCCCAAACCAACCACACATAGCCCTTAATTTTCAGAAGCACGTGTAGCAACAGTATGCAGGTACTTCTCGTGAATTGTGGGTGCTCAGCCCCACTGAAAATCAGTCCCTTCAATTTTAATCAAAGGTGTATGTTAGTGGAGGACAGTTATGGAACGGGGAGGCTGCTCCATTTTATTCTACGGGCAAATTCTGCTGTGGGTGATCCATATGGTGGATCTTTGCTGCTGCTCTGCCTCCATGCAGGGAAGTGCCACTGGAGACCATGAGAGTTCCACCCCACAGGACAGTGTGGAATGATGGTGTTGAACTGTGCCCTACAGCGGAGCTTTCTCCTCGCTATTTCCACACCCGCTAAATGCTCTTCACAGTTGTCTCAGCAGTTACGGCTGGAACTCATTACTGCTGTTGTAGAACGTACTCATTTGTTTTCATCCCATGTCCCTCTTGGCCATTTTGTCGTGCGCAAACAGCTGATGTGGGGAGTTAGGCAAGTAAAGCTAACTGTTGTTTTTCCGGTTGCCATTTCTTTGCAGACTCATTTTGCTTTGTGCTTAGTGGGAAGAGTGACTCCTTTGTATGACGCAGGGCATATACTTTCAATATTTCGTCCTAACTTTTCCTTTCACTTCCAATGCTAGGAAAGCATTCTCACCCATGCCATCGAGCCAGACCCTGGTTATTTTATTTATTTATTTATATTCTCACTTTGTATTCTTCTATGGGATTTTTTTTTCTCCTCAGGTTTTAAAGTCTGCATTTTTAAACGTAACTGTGGAAATGTCATTCGTCGAAATGGAAGGCGAATTTCGTCTGACCTTTTCCCCATTTTGACATTTCCGTAGGCTTTTTAGCTTCAGCTCAGTATCCCTGACAGTGTATTTATTAAACGCAGGACAATGTTCATAAAACCATTCCCTGGGTGGAGAGCAGTTTGCCAGCAACTCACAAGTGGTGAAACCCAGATATAGACTCAGAGGCTGGTGTGCACAGGTTCTTACCTTCAGAATCTGCCTGCGTTTTAGTGTGGAGTACTCTCTCTGATGCGCTTTCAACTAGATTATCCTTTTCATATGCTGCTTTATAATCCTGTTGTTTTCGGAACTAATCTAAACCCCATGGAAGTCTTTCCGTAGACTTGAGTGGGTTTTGGCTCAGTCTCACCATTTCCTCTAGCTTTCCCCGCCACTCCCCTCTTGTCTCCAATATGCGTTCCTAACCTAGCCTCATCTATGGCCTTCTGGCTCCTTCATTTCTCCCTCTTTAGGAAGCAGAGTCCCTGCCTTTCAGCAACATTTTAACCATTTTCCCACGCTCTGTTCCTCCTCAGTGGTGTAAGAGTGGTGCTGAAAGATGTGTCCCAGTTTTCCTCCCTAAGTTACAGCTTTCAGCTCCAAACAGGTACATCTTTCATACTCCTCCTGCCGGGCTGCTCTTTCAGGACAGGCTGATACGCTTTTCTGTCTCTCAGCTCCTGCCTTCCCCTCCTAGGAACAGCTTTTGTGGTATAAACCTGTGAGATCCTTTGAACTCGCTACTGTACATTTTCACTCAGTAAGAAAATCTGCAGCCTTCTCACCTTAACCATGAGAGGAAGTTTCTGATGGGCACAGACTAAGCTGCCTTAAACGTAAGCTTGGTGTTGGAGTGCTAGTTGCTGACGGAGTGTCTGTTCTCTGGTTTAAAAAAAAAAAATCTACAGCTAGGTGATTTTTGTAAGCAGTTGTGACAGCAGGTCAACACCATTCTCCATGTACTTCCCTTGCTTTGTCGCGAAGGGATTGGTCAGTAGGAAAAGCTTAGCCATAATCTGAGGGGGGTGGAGAGTGAGTGCCTGTCCAAACTAATATTGCCACTTGTTGAGAAAGGTGCTCCTGACTCAGAACCGCAGTTGTGCCTATTCTTCTTCCAGCCCCTCTGCTTGGGTGTCCAGGAATCCGAAAAGATCTCAAGTAATCCAGTGTAGGGACAAAGGTGCTCTTTACTTCCCTTCCCTTGCAGTAGGTTCACATGGGTGGCAGGGTCTAATGACACCGTATAGCCTTTTGGTCTAGCCTAAATGTTTCTGTTGAATGGTCCAACATAAATTAACGCTCAAGATTAGCAATAGGTAACCGGTTGTACTTTGCAATCGCACCTCCTTGGATAACTGATTCGGGAATCTGGTGCCCCTCTGAGTCCCATCCAAACCTTTAGCTCTTTCTCGCTTTAACTTCCACATCAATTCAAGCTTCCTTTGTTTTGGGGGTTTTCTTCTGACCCCGAAAAAGGCCAAAGTGGTTCATGGATGGCAGATACATTTGCAGCTCAAAACCCATCTTTCTAAATTCCACTTGGAGTGCTTCACATTCAATATGCATCCGTTCCATTCCACTGAGGAAATGGCGGTGGGGTGTGTTTTTGGGGAAGAGAGATACATTTTCAAAATCCCTTGGATGGGAGAAAATAGAAGCAGTCCTTACCTCTGAATGTTTGTACACACTGCCATCTAGTGCTAAGGACCATACTCTTTACGGAATACCGACACCAGCTTAAAACTCATAAAGATTACCTTACATATTACCGGAGGGAAATACATTTTGTGAGCTGGCTGTTTAGAATGGCAATTCAGTTGTGCAGACAGCACCAACTCTTAAGAACTTTCATAACATTTACAGTGGGTGAATCAGCTTGTTTAAAAAATGTCTGCATGCTTCTTATCCTCAACATATTTACTTTTTATTTTTACTTTTTTTTCAAGAAGCTTAATATTTTCATTGCCCACCTCATGTTTTTGAGTTATTGCAGTTTTGCTGCTCATTATGCCACCTCCTCATTACATGTTGGTTGCTAATGATATAAATAAAATATATATGTTATATATAAATATATGTATAAAAAATATCTACAGACTTTGAAGAAAATCTTTAATTTCTGATTTAAAATCACTATTGGATGGAGTTGTTTTAGTCTCATTGCTTTGAGTTCTTTTGTGTTGTTTTCCTCGTAAAGGTGGCTGTCAGAGTACTGGATAAGTCCCGTGTAAGTTTTCCATGCACACACAGCTGTATCATATTGAACAGTATGAGACCCGATGATGATGATTTTTATGAACCATGTACGTTCTGAAGCGATTGAGGTCTCTTCAGACAGGAGTTGATTTTGTAGGAGATGGTTGGTGACCAAGACAGAAATGTAAACATTCACAGGACATTTAGTTGTTTGGGAGGCATATAGAGCAAAGATATTTCTGTTGATCACCTATAGATGTATTTACACAGAGTAAACCTATCGTCATGGATCGTGTCCTGGTGGGATTCTTGTCTTGCTACCCAAAATAGGATTGGGGTTTTTTTTAACCTCTTAGACTTTGTTGTATGTTTTAGCAGAGTAGTGACTACAGCACTTAGATTAATTTTATACAAGATAATGCGGTTGAGTCTGTTTGATCCTAAGTTCAGGGCACTTTGTAAACTACCTTATTGAGCATTTGAAAATCTTTTCAGGTATTTTTCTGATTGGGTGGCTGGCCCTGAAATGACTAGTCACCCTCAGAGGTCAGTCAAACTGAGGATGCAAGTGGTTTATGAATGAAAACAGAGCCTTTACACCTTCCCCTGTGAGGGACTCCAACCAGGTATTCACTTCAGGGTCACCCTTATTGCTATTTCTCATCTCTATTTTGAGCATTTAGCTTGCAAAATTTTGTAAGGCACGTTGCAGTATTATGTTCCCATCAAGGTGGGGATTTCACATGAATGCAAAGTTGAAGGGCAATAAAGGATATTTATTATAAGTGCTACAAGCCCTTAGCTATTATGGCAGATAAGGGTGGTTGAATAAGCGATTCCTACTTCCTCACAGCCTAGCTGCTGCTTTGGAAAGGACTCTACAGTGAAGTTACAATCCCTTGTCTGCACGCTCCATTTCATTCCAATGGAAAAAAAGTGAAAGCGATGTCCCAAAATTCAGCGTTTAGCATCACTGCAAGCTCAGGTAAGCAGAGCTGTGGCAGGAGGGAGGTAATGGTTTCAGTACTAAGAGCGTTGGTAACTGCCAAGATAATGCATGGAGATGGGCCCTCACTAAACCCCCAGAACTGAACACTCTGTCTGGTGGCGTGAGCTCATCTCTGGCTACAAACTCATTCACTTACCCCCCATTTAAGCTTGGTATGTCTCAAAGTCCCTCTTCAAGCAATGCCTATACAAAAAATATAAATAATTTCACTCATCTCTATAGGTGAAAGGGGTATTTAGCATTTCTTATGATGTCAGTGAAAGTGTACATTACATTAGTGGGTTAGTTTTTGCTACTGTTTACAGAGAAATTAATTGCTATGTGTGTATTGTACTCTGGATTTGACCTTCTCATTGCAGGAGACTCAATAGTTCTAGCACCAAGCTAACTGCTGGGTTTTCTTTTAAGAACCCAGATGTCACATCATTCAAAGCAGGATATTGATTTCTGGATGAAAATTTTGATTTCTGGTGGCATCCAGGGGCAGAACAAGGCTTAGCGGAGAACAGCTAGCTTTGTTTGCCAGAGCTTAGGTGGCCATTTCCACCGATCTACAGGAATGTGTAAACCAAGGATCCTAAAAAGAAATAAGCCTGCAAAATAAACAAGACTATAAAGAGCGAACTACATGGTAGGCTCTCATTCTCCAACCCCTGCATCAACCACCAACCCCTCCAGAGCAGGACATAAAACACGATCAGTATTGAGCATTTGTTCTCCCCAGCTGTAGTACAGGATGTACATGTTTGACTTCATTTAGTAAAATGCCCTCTTTCCGTTTAATACTGAATAGTGACACGCAGCTCACCCAGTCAATACCTTTTTAAAACACAGAGGTCTCTAACAAAGGAAAATCTTGCATGGCCTATGCTTTGAAGGTATGTCACAGTTCCACTACAGACACGTTACTTAAGGTTGTGGAAATTTGGTTTTTTTGCGTGATGTTTCGATACCAAGATGTATTTTGTTTGGTTTTCATTTTCCTGTTGCTGTATCTTCTATGCAATTCCTTTTCTAAAGAATTACTAACAGAGAAGTGCTAGCCATTGCATTATTTGTATTGCTGTACAGTGGAGGTGTGGTTTACTAGTTCTGAGTGTGCCTCTTCTCCCTTTTTTCTCCTTCCCTCTGTTTGTAAATGCCTGCATTTATTTTGTCAGCCTGACATGTACAAAGTGTAAGAAAGAATTTTTAAACAGGTAATAAATTATATTTATAAGCAACTAGAAAAAACAACCTGGTGTCCAAATAAGCATCCTTTTGTGCTCTTTGAACTGTCATCTTGGAAGGTGCTGTTTGTTTTTATATTTTTGCACATCCGTGTCCTCAAGCAAAGTGGTTTTTGGATATAAACATATGCCAGGACCCAGTCTTACTCCTAAAATGCTGCACAAGAGAAGCAGGGATCAGTACAACAAATTTATGGAGGGACATCATGTCCTGCAATTTGAAGTGAACTAAAAAAATTTGGGGAGGGGAAAAGAGTGAATAGATGCTGAGATTTTTATTTTCAATATGCCTGTCCAAAGTATTGCATCTGACTGACACACAGTCCCTGGGGGGTTTATAACCCAGAAATTACAAGAGTCTGCAGAAGCAGGACCATGTGGTTACCACTATTTGAGTTAAGATCCATTTGGGGGGCTTGAACATCAGTATTTTAATGTGTTTTTGGTTATTGTACCTCCACCAGAGTCTCATGAGTAACAAAGTGTCTAGCACGGTCCGGCCATTATTGCAGCATTTAAGATCAACGTAAGAGTAAACAATGGAAGTTTGTGTCCAAATGTGTTAGGCAGGGCAAAATTTGGACTTAAGTTGAAAGAAATATGCCTAGAGCACAGGTGTATTTAGTGAGGCTTTGGGGGAGTGGTGTCATATTCCTTTACCACGCAGCAGACCAGTAGCCTTGAAAAGCTTCACAAGAGCAGAACCTATAGTAATAAACTATCAAGTTATTTAATTTTAAACCCACATCCTCCTACTCTGACCTCCCATATAGCCCCACTGCATTACATTTCACCCAATAGCATAAGGTGGACTTAACCTACGAGTCGTCAGAAGGCTACAGTGTTGTGTATCATAGGCAAAGAACAGAAGAGACCAAGGCGTGACCACTGCCAGGGAATTGATTAGCTGAGATAAGCCCAGATGGTACTGTTCAGGATTGTAGAATCTACCATTCCTTTTGGGAACAGCCAGGACAGTGGAAGGCTAATTTTACTGTGTTTTCTTCCATAGGAGAGGAAAATGCCGTTGTACAAGGTTAAAAAAGTTTTCATACCTCAATACAGTGGAGGGTTAAGCACAGAAAGAGCTCAGGAGGCGAGGATCTCATTCTTGGGCTGCCTGCACTGTGTAAACTGATGCATCTGATATCAGATCCCAGCAGATGGCTGAAGCCAATATTCAACTCTTCTCCCATTGATAGACAGGGACAATCATGAAATGCCTCCTGAAATGAGGTGGTTTTGTACTAGTAAGAGTATGCTAGGCCTCTCATTCAAAGGGGCTTTGCACACTAACTATTTACACCCACAGGGCAACTGTTGCCAACCTCACATCTAGCAATATCTGATTTTTTTCCTCAGAGGCCCAGCTCCTAGAGTTATTAAAACTGAAGTGGAGTTGAGTAGTTTTCTAGCTACCACAATTGCAGAGAAAAGCTTGAACACATGACTTGAGTACACCCAGAAGGTACAGAAACCAGAAAGCAATTAAAAAACCCTAAAATAATGTAAAGCCTTCATTATTTTTGCATGCTTGGAGTTAATGATAGATACTGCCTACTTCAGGGAAGCAGTTGAGAGTCCCCTGTTTAGACACTAAGCCTGATTCTCTCCTCAATTACCATACACGGGTGCAGAGTCAAAAGTAATGGAGTTACTCCTAATGGAGCTATATGGCATGGATGGGTGGGAGATCAGAATCAAGACCAATATTGAAAATGTACCCAATGCCCAGCTGCCAAGGTTAAAAGCCTAGTCCAGGGCAGACATGAAGTGGTCTGGTGGATCTCACCCCACCCAATCTTCCCATGAGGAAACACACAGCTTGTCCCAGTGTCTGATTTAAGGGGGGGGGGGTGTAGAACCTAGAAGCAGTGGGGGACCAAGCATGGCTCCTTCCTGCACTAGGCCCAGCTCAAACCAGAGCTCTACTTCAACCTTAAAGAACCACGTGAATCACCACAACTGAAATGCTGGCTAGAGGCTTACCCTTGCCTCTGCCTCTTTCTTGGAGGCCTGTGCAGCCTTTATTAGATAGGTTACTTCATGAGTGATGTTTTCATCCCCTCCCTGACTTGAGATTATCAGGGTTAAATTTAACCCTGAGAGAGGACTAAATTTAACTTAGTTGGCCTCAGTGACTTCACCAGGGGTGAAACTGGATTAATGTCTTTTCTCACTTGATGCAGCAGTGGAAAAACCCAGCTTCCTGGATCAGTTTCAAAAGCCAGTCTTCAAGTGGCTGAAAGCTATTTCATGCCCCCTTCAAGTTTCCCCATGACACATGCATGTGTCTTTACAGGGTCTTCCATACACAGGGGCTCAATGTTCTTTCATCAGCCAGAAAGCAATCCTACCACTCCTAACCCACTAAGCTACTGCAGGGTTGGTCAGACAATTTATAGTTCTCTTACCCTTTAGTTGCTTGAGTAGTCATCCCCTTGGAATCAATGGGCTGTGCAAGTGCTCTGCCTTGTGGGGTGTGGAATCAGGCCCTGTGCCTATTTATTTCTAAAGCATTTTTGAAGATGAAGATTAAAGATAAACTTATACCAATAACAAACTAGCAGGATCTTAATAGGAATAAGGCAAAATACCACATTTATTGTGAATGCAGAAAGAATCTTAGTAAGCAGTTATAGCTATAACATTCCATTCAATCTCATTTATTCACATTCATTCATACACACAGGTTCTGCAAGGTTATCGTTGCTCTTGCCAAGCCACAGCCCCAGGTGGCATGGACATGAGGAGGGAGTAGGGCCTTGTTAGATGCACATCTGATGCTCCTAGAAGTTGGTTTGCAGAATCAGACCCCTAAGTTCTCACTTTCTAGAGTCCCATTTTTAATAGGAATTTATTCCTATGCCAGTCTATGGGAATTGCTTCATCCTGCTGTTGCTGAATCAGCCAGCAGATGGCACATTCCTGATGGCTCCATGCTGCCAGACGTTATCTTGTTCTTGGGTTCTCCCATCCATGAGGCTGTTGGGTGGATTCCAGTCTGCCCGCTGGGATCCTCTAGTTGTTTCTACTTGATGCCTTCTTCAGCTGATTGAAACTGGATTCTTCAACTGGCACCTCCCTGTTCATTTATTTATTATCCATGCCAAGCATCCATCCACATACCTCCTATCTCTATTTTAGATCACAATAGTTAACAAAGCAAGATAAATACAACAAAAAGGGCGGGGAGTCTGTGCTGTTTGTTATTACAAAGTATCGCTTTGAGTCTGTGTGAGTAGTTGGTTCTCAAAGCAATACGTCTTAGGATGTACTAAGACCATTAGCAGCTGGCAACTTTCACAGAGGGAGAGAAACAGTAAAAAACAGGAGACCTCTTAATTAGTAATACCCTGGAATTTAAACTATGGGGAATCAAACTCATTGGTGATTTTAATCCAGAACTTCTTTAATATGATCTAACATAACCCATACAGGATACTGCACCCTTCTGAGGATGCCAGATGAGCACATATCTTGGTCAAAATACAAGCAGTGGGTAAACACCGTTGACTACGCAGATGTTGCTTTGGTTTTTACCATTATGTGAGCATTCAGGCAGATGCTTATGGAGGTTGCCAAGACAATTCCATCAACTTTAGTGGAACCAGTCCTGCATCAGAGGTAGACCCATAGCAATACAAGGTTGAACTTTAGGTCTGTCAAACAATTTAAAAAAAATTAATGGCACTCAATAGAAGAGCATTTAAATGTTTTTGGAGGTTTTCTACATTCTCAAATATATTGAATTACAAAACCGAATACAGAGTACAGTGCTCACTTTCTTTAAATACAAAGATTCAAGGTAAACATAGTATTTCAATTCATCTAATACAAGTAGTGCAGTTTCTTTATCATGGAAGTTGCACTTACAAATGTAGATGTACAAACACTGCATTCAAAAACAAATCAATGTAAAAGGTTGAGGCTACAAGTCCATTCAGTCCCCCCACCAGACAAACAAGTTTGGTTACATTTTGTAGGCAATAATGCTACCTGCTTCTTTCTTGTGACGTTGTAAACAAGAGAGACCAGGTGTTTGCATGGCACTGTTGTAATCATCACCACAAGATATTTATGTGCCATGTGCTAAAGATTCATGTCCCTAAATCTTCAGCCACCATTCCAGAGGACACGTAGGTAACCTCTGTTGACACCTCTTCTTCTGTCTCTGTAAAAAGACAAATAAAAACCTATAACCTGTGGGGTGGAAAAATACCTCTCTGTTCTCTGCCATTGACCAGTCCTTGATGCACAAAGAAGTCAGCACGACCAGATAATTGAAGGACTTAACTGTGGAGGAGGCTTTTAATTTCTCCAAATCTAGAGAAAGGGTAGGTGGGGGAAGGAATTTGTAGGAAAAAAGCTGGATGAGTCACCCTCTCAGGAAGGTTAGTAGAAAGCAGAGAGTCCATCTGGAATGGAAAAGAGGAGTTGATCAGCCAAAAAAAGGAAAAAGGTTAGAAGAGTATAAAAATAAAATGAAATTCTATAAAGAAAAAAAAAGGATGCTAGAGGTTGGGTTGCTACGGTGTGGATAGGAATGAGATTAAAGATAATGGCCCCCCAACGCTAAATGAAAACAGTATTCAATAATATGTCTGCTGGGAAAGAGTCTAAAAATAGAGGTGGAAAAGAGCATACTAAGCTTTTAAGTTGGGGCCTTGTAGAGAATTTGCATCCCAAAAATAGGGATCTGATACCGCTAATCCAGTAACAAGGATTTTTAATAAGTTTGTGGGAGCAGTACCATGACAACTGAAGTCTAACTAATGTACCTACATTAACGGGGGGGGGGGGGAGGAGGAAGGAGTAATCTAGGTAATTAGATACCTGTTAGTCTGACCTCAGTAGTCTGCAAGGTTTTGGAGCAAATGGTGAAAAAAGATTTAGAGGTAAAATGTAAAGGGATGTAATCCAACACTAGTTTACCAGAGATAGATCATACCAAACTACCCTAATTTCTTTTGAAAAAAAGAAAGTTTAAGTGCAATTGTACTTGCT